CGGTTTCCTTGACGTTATTGCGATCGTTATTAGTCGCTTGCGCATTACAATACCACGAGAAACCTGGTAAAGCACAGTGCTGCGGGCAGTCTTTGGTTGCGGGCGAGCCTAAGACGAAAACGGCTAAAGCCCCCGACAGCCGAACGTGGGACCAGGGACAATGGACCCCCAGCAGATGTGTCCCCTTCAAGAGAGAAACAATGAAACGATCCGAGAGCAGCTGCCTTCCCGCACATCCCAGGAGTGTTACTACCGCAGCGAGGCGAGAGTCAGCGCTTGTGAACTCTCTCCACTGCTGAATTCCCCGCGACGGCGGGGACAGTCGATCCAGCTGTCGGGCGGCGCGAGGCGCGGTCCTTACCCTCGCGACACTTGCCAATGTTCCTCGACGCCACGCTCTCTACGCTTCTTCGTACAGACGTGCTTTTTCTTTTGAGTGTCGATCAACGGTGAGCGTTTGGCCCTGCCAACGCTCACCACCGAGTATTAGAGACCTCATTGCTCCCCAAAAACCTCCCTCACCGCCCCCCTCCCCCTCCAACACACAAACACAGAAGCAGCAGGGCCCCCCAGGGAGCCACCTGTCAGTGGAGTAGGCTCAGCTGTTGGGCTCTCCGTGACAAACTCCACCTTCTCTGGCGACACTCGCTCTCTCTCTCTCACTCCCCCTAAGCTTTCTCATCTTGCCCGTTGGCAGCTCCCACTACCGAAGACACTCGTCCCGTCATCGGCTGCGGCGGTGCGTTCTCAACCAGCCGCGTCCCACGCCGACCACGGTTGGAATCGCCAATTTTTATATCCAAATTCCACGCACGCCTTAGACCAGAAAAGTTGACTACCTGCTTAAACCAGTGTCCCCCCCCCCATCCCAATCTATGCCCCCTCCCCTTGGCCGACTCCTCCTCCATTCTCTCCCACAACATCATAAATTGTTTGCAAGTGAGGCAGATGGCTGAATCGGCAGAGTTGAGGATTTTAACGCGTGGGGTTAACGCGTGGGGGTAACGCGTAAGGTTCAACAGCTGCGTTTATTTCAAGTGCGGTTTTCCGGGTTGGCCCCAGTGCTGAACATTTCTCGCCCGCAACAGCAGCAGCACCACGCGCCCTGCGCTGCTGCTGCTGCGGGCATCTTTGGGGGTTGGGAGTCCGAGTTGGCGTAAGAGCCAGAGCCGTGCGATGGGATCGCTACCGTCTGTGGGGTGCGTGGTGATGCAACAAAGACACGGGCAGCCAATGGGGCGCTTTGTGTAATTATCCCTCATCGAACTGGTTCTCCCGTCGAGGTTCCCCTCCTCGCAGCCGCTGCGAATTCTTTGCCTCTCACAGTGACACGGATGGCTGTGTCATCGTGAGTCTCCGACATACGTCAAGGGGCCGCGGCTCGGTGGGTTACCGCGGTCGTGGCTGCGTGGCAGCTTCCCTGTGCGCGTGCGGTGTTGTGGGTTGTTTCGCGCGGCTGTTCTGCGTGATGTCGGACATTTTGCGCCGCCACCTCCCCTCCTCCAAGAAGCTTCCTGCACGCGGAGAGGAACGTCGGACATCACACCAGGAAGAGAAAAAAATACACACCGGGGAGGAACAATTTGTGCGGATGAATTCTCCGAGGCTTTGTCTCGCGCTGCATTCGCCGTGGCACGATTTCACTCTGGCCACTTTGCCGAGTCTCTCTCGCGTCCCGATGTTCATTCCTCTTGGTTCCCCGTGCTCAAGTCTCTCCGACGTGGATTGTGTCTGCTGCCGCCAGTGTTGTGACCGGGGGGGGGGGCAGGAATCCCGTTTCCAAGGCCCTCAGTGACATTGTCCATTCCCAATGTCAGTGCGCCCATAGAAACCCCTTCTGTGTTCTTGCGTGCGTCCTTCAAATTAAAATCACCTCGGCGCCGAGCCTGGGACCCTCAATTAAGTCCTTCTCACAGAAAAACAACAATAAAAAAATCCACCGTAATTAATCTGTCATCGTAAACCGGGATTAATTTTCTTTTTTTTGCTTCGGCACAAAACACAAGACGGAAAAAATAGACAGCGGCGGGGGGGGGGGGCAACTTTAGCGAAGTGGACTTTGTAATGAAGTCGCGTTAGGGCCGCTGACGAGTTCAGGTTTGGGCCGCATCTCTCTGGTCCCAGAGCCACAACTCTACCCGAAACCACCGCGATCCGCCCGCACGCCAGCCCCCCCCATCCCTCCAACTCCGCGCCCGCACCTTGGTACAGATGATCTGTGCAGAACGCGCCGCGTCGAGCGGGTTACAGTTTAATGCGATCGGACTCTGATATAGGCAGGGACAGGCAAGGCCTGTAAGGGAGGGAGTTGTGGTCTGTCCGCGTGGGTGGGTGGGTGGGAGGAAGGGAGCGAGAGAGAGCGGGCTCTGCGGGCGGGGGGGAGGCGGTGGGGGGTGGTAGGGCAACGTGCCGAGGGGGTGTTTCTTAATGGTGCGTTAAAGGGTGGGGAGGGTAGAGGAGGACTGTGGGGGTTTGATGGGAGGAGGGAAGCGGAGGCGTGGCTCTGTGGAGCCAGTGAGAATCGCGTGCCTGCCAGGGGCTGGAGTGGAGTGGTCCGCACCTGAATGGTCTGAGCTGGGAACCAGAGAGCGAGAAAGAGAGAGAGAGACCGGGAGAGCGATACAGAGACCAAGACTGGCAGAGACACAGACCAAGGGAAAGTGCGAGCGAGCGAGTGAGAAAACCGATTTGGCGTTCATCACCGGTGCTGGATTTGAGCATCGACCCAGCAGTGCCACAGGAGGATCAGGAGACCCTGACTCATCGGGAGTTACGAGCCACGGATGGAAGTTCTGGTGGACTTGGTGCGTTCATTCATTCCTTCACTTTTTTAACAATCGGACGGTGTTTGCCGGATTGATTGCGTTCGATTGTGACCGCCGCGGCGCGTTCAGTGTGGCGTTGAGTTGTGAATGCGGCGGAATTCACATTCACGCCACCGCGCGCGTTACCGATGCTGGATTGAGAATCGGGGGGGGGGGGTGTTGGGGGCTCTGCTCTCTGTGTTGCACAGCAGCGGCATCGGTACGAGTTGAGAGTGTTTCCCAACATATACGAATCGCGCGTGTCGCAGGACGTCTCGTGGGTGTAAACCGGCGCTTCAACACGATGCCCGCCGCATTGCGTGATGTAACCAATAGCCGCCTTTGGGTTTTTTTTGTGTGTGCGTGTGGTGTTTCGCACGTGCCGCCAGCCACGTGTTGTGAACCGTCGCCTTACGGCTTCCCCGCGTTCGTGCTCTCATACTTGTGTATACAAGCGGCTGGCTCCTGACTCGCTGCGTGCGTGCGCCTGCGCGCGCGGTGTCACTGCGCTCACCATCACACCTCTGCCACACGGAAGAAGAAGTCTGTCCCTCGTGGGGAGACGGCGCAGTGTGCAGCTGGCACGCACGCATCCGGCGCGCAGTCGCAATGAGCCACTTCTCGACACGAACGTGTCTGGGATCCGGTTCAATGAATCTCTCGTTGTTGGATGTGCCGGTGCTGCTAAACGCCGTGGTGTCGTTTGGGGGAGGGGGGTACGGGAGACGATTGTGATCAGGGGTGGTAACGAGTGGTGAGCGTTATAGAGAGAGAGAACGAGCGAGTGGACGGGACCTTAATCTCGAGTTGTACAGCAGTGATAGTGGTGGCGATGATGTTGATGATGACGAACCCTCGAGCGTGTCCCGAGAGCCAGGCTGTCGTAAACAAAAATCAAATAAATAAATGAAAAGAAGATTTGAACTTTGGAATAGCACAGCAGAAGAGCAGCGCAACACGATCCCACCGCTCCGTGGACGGCACAGCAGCGCCACAGCCGCGCCACGTGCGTGAGCGTTCCACGTCACAGACGATATCGGTTCTGCCGAACTCGTGATAAACGTCTGCTCCTCGCGGGACCCCGGGGGGCGGGGGGGTGTTGCGCTGCCCGCAATCAGCACGGGGTTTTACATTCCATAGGAATGTGAGCAGCAGTGTGGAGCAGGCCCGTGGTGTGGCACACATCACCACATCTCCGCGTTGAATCGCCGTGGATTGGCTGCACGTGACTTTGGGAACTCGAAAAATCCATTCCAGATGATGTCGTCGCTCTCTCCCCACCATCACCACCCACCCCCAAATACTATCCCCACCCCCCTGCACAGCACGATAATTGTCAGTGCCCACTGGATCATTGTCCTCTGTGTCCTCCCCCCCGCCCGTTTCTATCTCTACCCCCCACCCCAGCGCCCTTCTCCAGATGATCTCCCTTACCCCCCCCGCCGCCACCCCTGGTTCGATGCCACTTTCAAGGCGCAGTCAGCGCCACCGTGATAACGAGCGAGCGCCGGCGTGATTGTATTCTGCACTGAATCGTGTTTTCCTCTTTGCTCATTGCTCATAAAACGTGGGCGCAACGCCGCTGCATTTTACAGCGAGATAAGGCAGAGCAGATAGGGTCGTCGGTATGCGGCCTGGATTATAAAATAAACCAATCAACGGTTTACTGTACTTCTATGCCCACGTGTCTGTGTTATCCACCTTCACCCATCTGCACTGACCAGTGCGGTGAAGTATGGGAAAATACCCCCCCCCCCCCACCACGACCCGCTCGGCTTGGTGAGATCCTTAGCCAGTAGTGGATTCACAACAAGGACTGTGCGTGCAGCACATGTCCAAGGTACAGGACGCCTAAGCTCGGGCCCCGTACCGGGCGAGGCGAGCCGAGCAGCGGAGCGGAACGGAGGAGTCGTCGCGTGGCTAGTGGAGGGTGGCTTCTTGACTGCGGGGGGTAAAGGGAGGCAGGTGGGGTGTGCGTGGGTCTGGCTCTTTGCGGGGGAACACAGTCAATGGCGCGTGTCGATGAATGAGCGGTTCTCTGTTCGGCTAGCGGACGTGGCAGGCAGTGCCATCGAAGTGAGGCCACACAACCAAATATCGCCTCTGCATCGGCCCTGCAATCTCATTACTGGGAATTCCTTTGGCAACTCTTTAATTGTCGTGCTCGCGTTTGTGTGCGTGCGTGCGTGTATGCAGGCGGGTGCCCTGTTTGGAGACGACCAGCCCCTGTGCTGCCCGGCTGATTTGACATCTGACCTCACCTCTGACCTGGTGGACCCTGACCCCGACTTGGAGCTGCCTGATTTGGACGTGAGCGACCTCGACACCGATGGCTTCTTCGGGGCTCTCAAGTGGTACGGGGAGCAGGCGGGCTTCCAGGTGAGCTCTTCACTGACACCGCGAGCGGCCAGGTGGTGCGCTGCTGCTGCTGCTGTGTCTCTTGTGCCATCCAGCGAGAAAGGGGCCTGGGTTCAATGCCTTTCTGTGCGGAGTTTGCATGTTCTCTCCCCCTGTGTGCCACATGGGATCCCTACCGGGTTCTGTGGTGTCCTGCCATAGCTAAAAATATATATTAATCAGGTGAAACTAGTATTGGTCAAAAGCATCCCAATGCTGAAAAATAACAACCTGCAGATTACTCAATTGGGATTGCAAAAGAGCCCACACCAACCACACACGCCATTGGCTTCAGTGTTAACCTCTGTGGCTCATAGAGCCAGGCTGAGGCTTCCTCGGGGTTCAGTATTAACAATTAGAGCCAGATAACTACTCTACCAGGGATCAGTGTTAATACAAGTGACTCATAGAGCTGGACTAAGGCTTTCAAAGGGTTACATTTAACAGTGTCTTTTTTTAGTCAAGAGGGGCATAGAGCCGGAATCAGGCTCCCGTAGGATTTAGGCAGTGGCACATCTATTGGGTGTGCAGGCGGTGCAATTTCCACCAGAGCTCGCAGGCTGGAGGGGGTCCAGACACTGATCTACATATATGGGGGGGGGGGGGGTGCGGTGGAAAATTTTACGGGGAAGGGGGGCGGGGGAGATTTCATTCCTTACACCACTGCTTCATGGCTGTCAAGCAGCAGCAGCAGCAGCGAAGGGGATCCAGAGAGACCGTGTCCATTTTTGGGATTTCTCTGCCATGTGACTGCAGTCTGCTGTGTTTGGGCAGTCATTTACCGGCGGTGTCACCTCCTCGTAAACTCTGGCGCGGCTTAAAGGGGCCGTGCAGCCCCCTTACCACATCACCCCTCCCCACCACCACCACCACCACTCTCACCCCCCCACCCGCTCCCTGTTTGTAGCACACATTTCCCTAAGCAATAAAACCAAGCAATGTGGAAGAGCCCTATCCCTTCACATCCGTGTTTGGTTCTGAGACCCCCTCCCCTTCCAAAGACAAATATCCTCCTGTCGGCTTACCAGACGTTTATTTATTTATTTAGTTCGTTATTGCCTCCATTCATTTTTATAAGTATCAAAGGCATTTGAGCAGCGGTAGAGATTTGAATGCAGGGAAAGTGCGTAACTTCGTTCCATCACACACGGACACTCGCACGCACACCTGCATAGACACTCACATGCACGCACATACATACATACAAAGATCCCCCGTATAGCCTTAACGCACTGTTGGGGTAAGTAATGGTTAGCGAGCACTCCTGAAGGCCGGAGCGGCACGCGAGGGGGTGGATGGCTAGCACCATGCCCGGACGCCTTTGTCTCCCTAGTGTCGATGTTTACGCACTAGATACTAATTTTAGGCTGAATCGACCTAGGGGAGGCCCAGGACCGGTTCAGAATATCGTGACTGTTTTTTGGCCATGAGCGGGAATTGAACTCGGGTCTCCCAGGTTCGTAGTGCAGCACGCTAACCGCTATACCTCCGCTCCCCACATACATACATACATGCACTCTCACACAGACTCCCGTACAGGGAAGACAACCATCACTCGAACAAACTGTTGGAATAAGTGCTGTGAGCGGGCGAGCACCCTATGAAATCTAACACAGCGCACCAGGGGGCGCTTTGGCCAGAACAATGCCCGGCCATCTTTGTCTCCCTCGTGGGGATGCTCAGCAACAGTTACGATATTCTTCACTGATATTGGTCGGAAGCGAGAATCGAACCAAGGTCGCCCACAGTGTGTCAACCACTACGCTACTGCACCCTTTACACAAACACGCACACACGCACGTGCCTGGGCGTGGGGTGATGCTGCAGTTAATTGTCTCACTCCTGCATGCGCTGTCACCGTCAGCCGCCATCTCTCCACCGCTGCACGAAGGCCTCGAAGCGGTCACCATCGCTCATGATCTCGCGATGCAACAATATCCATCTGGCTTCCACGACACACGGTGGGGGGCGAGGGGCGGGGGGCATGGGATGAACTTTGCTATAACTGTAGGCAACCGCCACGGTGTTCCCTCTGTGGTCAAGAATGGGCATTGCCCCCCGGTGGTCACCATATCTGTACATATGTACAGCTATGGGGGGTATTAGGGCAGTGATATTAACGAATGTGTTGGGGTTCTGGTGTTACCTCAGCTCTTGCACCACTGCCAACGCAGTATCACAACCACAAAACTGTTTGCCACAGGGCAGGTTCAGTTAATCGAAATCGAGAGGGGGGGGGGTGCGAGGTGGGCAGAGCTGTTGAAAAAGTGTCATCTCCTCCAGGGTCTAGGGGGGGGGGGGGCTGCACTTTGCGAGTGAGACTTTGACACCACTACCACCTACGTCGTGATTGCGAGATCCACGTGGAAAAAAACCCAGAGCAGCTCAAAGGGCTAGCAGGGCACTGCCAGTCACTTCCAGTCATTGCCATAAGGGGTGGGGGGTGATGGTTGAGGGGGGCGATTGGGGACGGGCACCCAGTACTTTGCGGGCAGTGTTAAGGCAGCATCGGGTTTCAAACTCATCGCTTCCTCCTCTTGGAATGATCTACCAGCCCAGTCGGGTTTCAGATGTCACATCCTTACCGCCGATTGGTGATTATAGGATGGTTGGAAATATATCCGTGTGTGTTCTTTTTATTCATGACAATCCATATATATATAAACTCTCTGTACCTGGGTGGTGTGTGGGGAGGGGGGGAGAAACGCAGCGTCGTTACCCCGGTACGGCCTGGGTATGGCACGGTACTCGGCGGCCAGCGTGCACACGAGGGCCGCGCGACGTCACCTTTATCGGCCCGGCTCTTCTGAACAAAAGTTACACGTGGATCGGCACTGCCTGTACCTGCCTGCCTCACCCCGCGCGTTCCAAGGTCTGCACGGACACCCAGATCTCTCCCTCCCTCGCCTCGCCTGTCTCGCCTCCCTCCCTCCCTCCCCTCCCTCCCTCCCTCCCTCCCCTCCCCTCGCCTCCCCTCGCCTTCCTCTCTCCCCTCCTTCCCTCCCTCCCCCCTCCATCCCTCCCTCCCTCCCTCCCCTCCACGCGTCCCTCCCTTGAATAATTTGTTTTATGAAGTTCGCGGGGCTGGTGATCGGCACGAGAGGCCGATGCCCCCCTCCACCGCCCCCCATGAGGGCGACGGCCTGGTGGCGACCTCGTGCCGCTGGCCTCGCGAGAGGGCCCTGCCAGAGGGAGGAGGGTTGACTCCCAAGCGCGATGTCGAGTTTGCCACGGCGCGTGGGGATTGCGGAAGAGGAGGGAGAGGAGACGGGCAGGGTGCCGGGGTGGGCGCGGCTCTGCGCGACGAGCCCCGTGCAGAAAAGAGGAGAGGGGGTTCGGACATAGTGAGAGACAGAGCAAGAGACGTGGCGATTGGGACAGACGCGAAAGTGACATAAATGGAGAGAGGTTTCTCTCTCTCTCTTGGAGATAAAGAGCGATAAAGATAAATGCAGAGATACACATAGAGAGAGGCGAGCACTGGCGACACACACAGTTAGAGATAGACAGAATAGACACAAAACGACACGTACAATTAAATACACACTATGACAGAGACAATTTTGGGTAGGGGTCTTGTGCGTGCGTGTTCACGCGTTCCGCACGCACGCATACAGCACATCACAGCGAGTTAGGGAGTGGCGAGGGGGGACCTGCGGGGCATTTTGTACCCTGCCCTTTCGGAGCAGAGCACACGGGGCAAGGACTCGGGGTAAGGTCAGGCCCCCGCGTTCCGATGTTCTCAGTAAAAGTGCTTCTCTCGCGGGGGGAGAGGGGGGGGGAGATAGCTTGCCGCCACTCTGGGAGGACCAATGCCCTCTGAACGGCACGAAGGCCGCAGTGAGTCTGGCTGATCAGTAACCGGGCCTCTGACCTCTGCCCTAGGCACCCAACTTAAAGCACTCCGGTGCTGGAGGAGGTGGGTGCAACGACCCATCGTTCATCAATTCGTGTAATTTCTTAAGCTCATCGAAATTCCTACTGGCCCACATGCCACCCCCCTCCCCGCCACCCCGTGGTGTATACTCAGCAGTAGCAGGATGGGTTTACCCCAGTTAATGACGATTAATCGAAGCGCCAGGGTCAGTGGGGGGCGGGGGAGTGGGGAGAGTATGGAATAGCTTTGTAAATCTTCATACATTCCATCAGTCCTGGGTTATTGGCTTTTGCTTTTCAAAAGTGATTGGCAAATTGATAGATATCCAGACTGGCCCTCATCACAGTAACGTGGAATTTCCGACGAGTTAGAACGAAATGGAGGTGAGCACAACCAAGTACTGAATTGGGCAAGGGTCACTCTGTCCTAAACTCCCGAGCCAAGGTTTTTACAGCGCTGTTGATAATGAGCCCCAGAGAAATCCCACGGTGCAATGAACACAATTCTCCCCACTCACCGCTTCTTTAGCTGCCGTATTTTATTGTTTAATTATTTAAGCATTGGGCAGAGTGGTTAGAACCAGAAAGGAATAACGCAACCGGTTGAGTGCGGTACTGCTGCTCTACGATGTGTTTTCGGGCTGCACCGCGTGTTGTTTGGCGTCTTGTCCGACTTTCCGCATGCACGCGCTGGGAGCTTCTTCAGGAAGTGTATAAGCACGAGGTGCACGCCATCATGCAGCTATGCAGCAGCAGCACAACCGCGAACAGCCACGTGGCAGCAGCAGGAGGCAGCGCTCGCTGTTCATTTTCGGCGTTGTGTTTGCGCCGCTGTCGCGGGTCCGAGAGCTTTGACTGCGTTAGAGTTGAGCAGCAGCAGCGGACAGCCGCTGCACACAGCGCAGGAGAGGTGCTGGTGGTTGTGGCACTGCGCGGAGAGCAGAGACAGATATCGAAACATCGAAACAGCGGGTGACATCAGACACTGGCGAGCCGGACACCGAGACAGGCACGTCAACAGCAGGGGTCGAGAGACAGGGGGGGGGGGGGGTGGCTCAGGGTCTCAAGTCTCCCGGGCGGGTGGGTGAGGTCAAGCAGGTTCCCAT